AATTCTATCTTTTTTCTGTGAGAATAATTTTGCTAGAAACTTTTTAATATTCTCAAAAAAAAAGCAGAACAAAAATGATTCATTCATTATGTACCATCCGTTGTATGTCTACTAGATCTTGTCTAATTAAACGTTCGTTCATGATATTTTCAACTCTATATTGTTGTTCGTACGTAAGTGTTCGGAAATGAAACATTATTTCCAAGAAATATTATAGCGTAATAAATATAAAAAAATTAGAGAAAAAATTCTCTACTTGCTGTTAAATGCAACCGCAGCGCTGGTCGAAAAGACTTTAGGGTGATAGTTGACTTCACCTCATTTTTAGGCACGATACACATCTCTGATTGCTAATGCTACACTAACTACTTTGCAAATTGAATTATTTGAAAATAGTGAAAACTTCAACCGATTACGAAAACAAAAAGAGAAAAATGAGTGCTTGAAATAAATATTACTTGAACATTATCGTTGTTTTTAAGATATTCTATAAATATTTTTATATAAATTTCAAAAAATAAACTGACTATAATACACGAAGGCATCATAATCATTTAGATATAGTCCTATAGAAATAAATTAGGAAAAATCAGGAAAGTAATACCGCTACGAGGTTTGATTTGCTTATATATTTAGCCGATATATATGAAAATTTACGCTGTTTCAGTTCTCTATCGAATGGTATATAAACATATGAGAAACGATTATTCATTGCCTTTCCTTATATAACCATATGATTCATATTACATACCACCAATGGACTATCATGACAAATATCACCTAGTGCTTTTCTTCAATGGCAGAGTTCACTTCAAATTTCATATCAATCAATAGATCTAGACGAATCCTAGCAAATGATACTACAAAATCCACGAAAAGCAAGTGAGAGAGTATGTCTCCTTTTTGAAATATTCAAAACAGCTTCTCTATGTATACGTTTAAGAGATAGAATAGGGAATTTTGTTGACTGAAACGCATAGACCCACTGTATGTCGTATGTCAATCGATAGTTCTCATCGAGAAGACTTTCTTTGTTCAAAAATAAATCAACAGCCTTTTCGTTTCCAATATTTTTGGTAGGAAATAATCACAAATAGTATGCATTCACACTAATACAAAATATGTCGTATGTGTCGTATTTTACGATACGAGGTACCCGTTGCAATACATTTCTACCAGCGAACTTACGACACATTCTGAAAACGTGGTTCAAATTTATCCTTCGATACGTCTGTTTTTCTGGAAAATCGAATAACTACTAGTTTTTTGGTTTAACTTGAATTTGTGGTATCTACTCTTGGAGTACAAAACGGTAAGATCCTATGATGCAACCATCCCGAGTCGATTTAATTCTGATTAAATCACTTCGAAGTGGTTCAATCTCGATCATTGGTCGATCTCTCAGTATGTTCTTCACTAAATGTAAATCGAGAAATAATCTAGAAAAAATGATTTATGTAAATGCATACGTTCAGCATATTTCGTCGTCTTGGTTATATGGCGCTATGTGCGCAAAACAAAACGAAGAATGAATAATTAGCCAATAGATCAGGACACATTTTATTTTAGCGTGCTGATTCAGCACAATGCGAGAGTTAAAATTTATCTCTGATAGAAAATATATCATATTGTATCGTATTTTTTCCGACATGAAGGTCAGTGGAAAAATCGGTATTATTTGTATCACTCAGATGCTTTTTTATGATGTTGGTATACGGCGTCTTTACGGTCAAGTTCAAATGATGGTATATAGCCGCATTTTCGTTGTATACACGCCATAGTCTCACCGTATAAGCTCACAATGTAAACATCTGCAAAAATAGCAAAGCTTATGGAAAACCTCTGTTTACATCATGACAAATTTTAAAATGTTTTTGTCACATCAAAAAAGTGAATGTTCTAGAGAGCCGATCCTTGAACAATCGTTTGATTGTATGATGCTAATCATACTGAGTCTATAGATTTTTACGACATGAGATACTTGTAAATCAATGACCATAGAGAGAAGCGGAATGAATGTAACGTAATGAAGAGTGTTAAATTGATTTTTAATCTATTTTAATTGATTCAAACTCGTCAATAGGATTTAAGAAAATAGATAGACATGCAATCACATAGAAAGAAAGCAAGAAAGGGAAAAAGGTGCAATATTGCGTCTCTTCAGTAGTCCTTTGTTTATATATTTCTTCATCACATTTTCATTTACTGTACAGACACGAGCGGAAGAAAAAAAACTGATTACAATAATAATAAAAATTGCTTGGTGATTGTATTTATTCCGTTGATTCCTTCGTTGTTTCTTTGTTAATAAACTTTTTTGTTGATCTACCATCTTGTTTGTCGTAATTATATTTTCAGAAGAAACTCAAAGGAATCATGCAATCAACGCTACAACCAATGTTTGTTATTTGCAGAATAAACTTTTGTGTTTGTGTAGAGACATCGAGCATACAATACAGTGATGGTAGTTTTTTTCTTACTGTTGAATTGTGAAAAACACTATTCATATCTTCAATATTTCTACTGACTTTAGTTTAAAAAAATACCAGGAATACTCTTCATTATTAGTCAATCGTATGCAAACATATATGACTCTCTTTTACATACATACAAGCAAAAAATAGTTCTCAATCAGCGCATGTTTCCTAACATGTTTCCCATTGATATATATTTATAATAAACATAGTTCTAGTAATAAATGTTTGCATAGGGAAGGAGTTTTTTCTCCTTGTTATTGTGACGCAAGTTAAAATTGTACGAATCTTAAATCTGAACAAACAAAATTTGAATATTATTTCTTTATGAATCGTAGAAATCAATAAAAAAAAGAGCAGTTAATATACCATTAGAAAGTAAAATTTCTTTTTATTATACACATGTTTCGGATGAATATAAATCAAAAATCACTTTAGCAAGATTGTGAGTGATGATATATTCATTCTGGTAGTCTCACTCACACTCTCACGATGACATTACCCAACCGATCATCCGATAGGCATTTCGACGCGTCAGTTTAAGATTGCTCCGGTCATCGAAATCTCAAACGTACTCCTCGGATTCTCGCTTTCCGATACGTCGAGGGCTTGGCGATAGGTCAGTCAACGCTGAATTTTCGACCAGCCGAACGATTTTTACCGAGGAGATCAAAATTTGATTAGAATAAAAAGGATTTTTTCCTATAGATGTCTCATTCTTGAGTTGTTGAAACCTATCGAATAAACGTGGAGAAGAAGATTTGAACATGGGTACTTTGATTAATATTCGTCTAACATCTAAACTAAATATGAACTATTGTTCTTCTATGAAAGTTATCTTTTCAATTCTTAGAAGGATAGAAGTTTCAAGATTGTTATTTTAATATTTGCTAACAGTTGTCGAAAATTAAAAAAACTTTCTAACCGAATAAAAACGCCTTTCGCGTGTCTCTAACTACACAAAAAGACTTTTTTTGAGTCTCAGATGCTACATAAGGAGCTTATTTCATAAACATGGCATCTGATAAATAATTGATTTGTGTGATAAAGTATAAAATTAATATTAAAAAAACTTTTCAAACAATCAAAACGTAAAATTCGTTATGGTTGTGTTTTTTGTCAAAAACGCTTATGGATTCCAGTCTTAGTTGTTATTTTTCATCAGTTAATGTTACTAAATATTTTTTAGAAAATTATGAATTTAAGGGAAATATATATCGAACATAAATAACTTTACTAAGGTGGCTGAATGAAAGAAACATTTGTAAATCACTTTTTGAAGGAACTTCACGAAATCAAAATTAACCTCACCACTTGAATCTATTATTCTGCTAGACTTGCTTCTATTGGAGCAATCAATACTATGCTTCTAACATGTTTCTTTTCTCGAGCACTCGAAAATGAATATCTGATAGAACACGGTTTTCGAGTGGCCGGAATCCGATGGGTGCCAAAGGGCTCGAAATCGGAACAAAACGAACAAAACATATATACAAGGGAGAAACAGCGGACTTCAAGACTTCAACGGACTTCAACCATAGTGACTTTATATTTTCGCAAGACTTCAAAAGACTTCTAAAGACTTCCGAGGACTTCCTAGGACTTCAAAGGACTTCAAAGGACTTCACAAGACTTCATAGAATTTCATGGGACTTCAGAGGACTTCAAAAGACTTCCAAAGACTTCGTGAAACTTCACAGACTTCGTGAGACTTCACCGCTGAAGTCTCTGCTGTTTCCCCTTGACTCTTTAACTTTTTCGATTTTAATATCATATAATTTTGTTAATGAAACTAAATACAATAGGTTTTGTCTTTGTTAAAATCTTTGACACCAAAGAAATCTATCTCTTCTATTTTTGGCATCGATTTCATATGTTATTCTGTATATATCACATCATTTTAGTAATATAAGCACTCTCTGTTGCATCTAATTGTATATGCACTGTTTATCCTATGATATCTTTAATGATAGGATTCCAATTCAACCCATGCACTTTAAAAGTCATCTTCAATTTTAATGCACAAGCACGAAAACAATAATTTGAACTTTAAATTAATGCTTTTATAAGAAGATTATATTCATTTTGATGAATTTTTTTTGCTAGAATCTAATTAGTTCTAAGAACATCACGCTATTTGATAATATAAAATGAAATATCATTTTGACACTTGATAACGATGGTTTTCTTTTATCATTTAAAAAATTGAATATAATGAGTGGATCATTTGTTGAAAGTAAATTAATTGACTTACTATTTTGTTTTTTTTTCTAGTTTAACTACTTTTGTTCCACTATATCCAATAGAATTTGCTGCTTTATTACAAAAATGATAGTACACATTTCAATTTTATTTTGTTACTCGAAAAACTTAGCTGTAATTGTTGGTAAAATTTGTACTTGTATCTATTCATGACTTGTACCTTTTTTTTCATAGCACATTTCTAATGAATATTCTATTAATGAACTATCAGCATCATTATGTGTCATTTCCTATTGTAATGATATTGGTTAATCTGTTCAATGATTAGCCTTCAAAATTTTTAGAGTATGTTTCTATTAAATAAGAATCTTCTTCAAGTAAATCTTTTATTGTAAATTGACATATATCAACATTGACATATCCAATCTATATACGAAGATAAATTAATAAAACAAAACTTTTTTCTTATGAATAATTTACTTTAACTCACATTAGTCTTAATGTTGTATCATCATCACTTAATAGTGGTTGTTATGAACATTTAATTGAATTCGATGAAACAATTTTTGCTAATAATGATCATTCTTCTTCTGGTATATCTGAATGTGTGTGCATATGAACTTTTTAGCAATAATTGAATCAATTGTTGTTAATGTTGGTAACATTCCAACACAATTCTCTGCATATACATGAAAATGATGTGCAACACCTTCAGCAAATCCAGTATTTGTATATGTAAATTTACATGGATCATTATATACATTACGTTGCCAAACACTTCTTGAGGCATCATATTTTTCAACAACATAATCAATAAGTTCACTTCCATCGTCATCATCTTTACATGATTCTCAACTAATAGTAATGGAATCTCGTTTTACCATTAATATACTTATAGGATCAATGAGTGGCGATGAAACAAGTAGGAAAAAAAAGAAAATTCAAATTAATTTAAATATAAATACAAAACACATCTGCTGGAGAATTGCTTCCAAATGATAATTGTCTTCAAAGAATAATCGATTATTAGAGAAATATTTTTGTCTTATTTATTTCGATATTTCGAACAGAATTTTTTGTTCTATTGATAGTAATTATTTTTGAAAGCTGGAACTTGATCAGTTCATACCTTTTGTGTTAATTAAATGACAAATATGACAAAATAATACATTACTAATCATCATTCTTTGAGCTATTTAAATTTCAAGAAAGACTTTGAAATATGTTAAAACAGTCTAAGTTTTGTTCTCAATGCCATACATCGCCTTTTTCTGTCGCTAAAAAACTCTAGGAATAGAATCTGACATCTGTTGTTATCGTCAATTATTATGGAAATGTACCCAATTCATTCCCACCCTCTTTGCTATGAAAGGATGAGAGAGCCACAAAACTTCGACTTAAAACGTACGTTTTGTTTCTTTACGGAAACGGTCATAAAACAATAGCAAAGTTGTCAGCGAAGGATACATCACATCTAAAGATAATCTTTATTTACTTCTAATCTATTAGATAACGATATATATGAATTTTGTTTAATCTATCTTGCATATAATTAGTTAAATTTGCACAAAAATCATTTGATTTAAAGAATAAAAATTTTCCGATGTTAATAATGGTATAGATGTCACATCTAATGATTTTATATTTGTTAGTGGTCCATCATTAACATATGTTATAAATTATTGCGATGTTAAATGCTTAATCAAAACTAAAGTAATATATACAATGATGATCAGATTCATTAAACCATGTTGAAAATAATTGTTCCATTGTATCAATTATTTAATTTAAATACGTTTTTGTACGTTGTATAATAATAGATAGTATTGAACAATCAATATTTGCTTTATTTTTTATTCCATTCATGAAAAATTTTGAGGATAATGAGAAGGAATAGATAATCGAGAGAAAAAGTTTTTTTTTCTGTATAGATATAGATTTGATTCTTCAAGTCGACGTTGTTGTCGATTAATAGATAATGATGAGTTAGAACTCGTTAGTGTGTGTTAAGGATAGCGTTTTAATGGAGTTAGAACTGTATATTGTTGATAGACCATTCTTCCATTTGAGCAAATACTTTTGAACATGTGTAGTTCAGATAGAGAAGATTTGCTACTAGTTGTTAATTGACTAGAACAACAAGACAAACAATATGATATTGGTACTTCTTATTTTTCTAACATAAATAAATAATTATTATTTGATGATGAATGGATGTGAATGAAATAAATTTTGATTGAGTATCATAATGATTAGAAGATAATTCTCTAGATTTGTTGATATGATGATGACACTGAATGAGATTCTTGATAATGAAGATCATATATAGTTATTCTATTACTATTAGATAAGGAGTTGAAGATCAACATAAATGAAAATTAGGACTTGAAGGTATGGATGTGTTGTTCACTTCTGCATTTAAGTTCGTGTTGTACTGTATTTTATTTTCTGTAACTAGTCTCTACCTCTCAGAGCAGTTGAAAAAGGATATGAATGAATTCGTGAAAATCGAGAAGATGTTTAAGACGGAACACGATTAGACGTATCTATCATCAAGCAACATCCGAAAACTTCGAATAGGTTTATTGCCATATTAATGATCACTTTAGATATCACAGTTGACGAAGTTCAAGCACCAACTGATCTGAATTATAGCACCGTTCGGAAAATAATCTCCGATCATCACAAACCTGAAATATTACGACTAATACCCATTTCAAAAAAGAAGAAGGATGAGTATTTTTTGAATAATTTTTGATAGAAACTAGATAGAGAGGTTCGATTTTCACTGTTTAAAAGAGAAAAGGTGAAACTGCATCGAATAGTCTGTATCGGACTTTTTTGAGAAGTTTTCTCAGAGTCTCTCGCCGATTTCGTCAAAAAATTCAGGCTTTGGAATAAGTTTATATGGTGAATTTTTCTTTAAAAGATGAAAAAAAGTTCATTTTTTTATAAGAAATCTGCCGATAATATACAGTAAAATGTGTATAACTCATGATTGGCTAAAGTTTACAACATCGGACTTACAGAATTTATAGATCTTCAGTTAACGATTCTAGCGCACTCTTGAAAATTCAGATCATAAAAGTTTTACATTAAACAATCTTTCGTGTTTAACAAACTTGATAGTAGACTGAGAAAACTTGTTAAAAAATATCTGGTATAGACGATTCTATGTGGTTTCATCTCATCTTTTAAACGGTAAAAGCCGAAACTCTCTATCTAGTTTTTATCAAAAGTTATTCAAAAAATACTCATCCTTTTTTCTTTTTTAAAATGGGTATTACTAAACTGATATACAAAACAAATTCAATTATATTTCCTAAATATGATGAGTGATTTAGATTTTTTCATTTACCACACACAAATAATGCAAATTTTATTCAATTAAGATTAACGAAGAAAAAAGTGCAAAAAAAGCATCGAATTATTTCCAAAAAACTACCCTAAACAATTAACTAAAAGACTAATCGACTGAAGAAATAAATCAATTTTTTTCCAAATACTTCGATTGTAATCGATGCATAAACATAAGACCGAGAAAACTCACATGAAAAAGCATTTCGGACAGAAATAAAAAGAAAAACATTTAATTGCGACATGTAACATATGACAGATTATAATAAAAACGTCATAAAATATTATTCCGTCTACTAAAAAATGCACGGCTAAATTCTTATCATGCATAATAATCAATTTATTGCTTCAGGATCTTTTTCGCCCAAACATACAGTACGAACAATAATATCTGTCACAGCATATGGATCACAATTCGAAGCTGGTCGACGATCTTCTAAATAACCACATTTTTCTTCACAAACTGGTCTTGGAATTCGTACTGATGCAGCTCGATTAGCAATACCAGCACTGAATTGATTAATCTAAATATACACATACAAAAAAAAAAAACTTAATTCATTCATTAGAAAAAAAAGGTTTACATCAGCTGTTTCATGTCGACCAGTTAATCGTCGTTCATTGTCTCTACCATATCGTTTAATATGTGTTTTATGACGTACTTCAAGTAACTTAATTGCTTCTTTAATAGCTCTATGAATAATTCATAAAGTGTATTTCAACAATAATTCAATAAAGAAAAATAATTTACTCAATGCCATTAGGTTCACGCATAGCTTGTGTAGAAAAATTAGTATGACATCCAGCACCATTCCAATCGCCTGGAATTGGTTTTGGATCAAAACTAACTTGAACACCAAATTCTTCGGCTATACGTAATAATAAATATCGTGATATCCAAAGTTGATCACCAGCATCAATTCCTTCACATGGACCAACTTGATATTCCCATTGAGCTGGCATAACTTCAGCATTTGTTCCACTTATATTAATTCCACCATATAAACATGCTTTATAATGAGCTTCTTCAATATCTCGACCAAGTGCTTGTGATGCACCAACACCACAATAATATGGACCTTGTGGATGAGGAAATCCACCTTTTGGCCATCCAAATGGCCAACCATCACGATCTAAAAGTGTATATTCTTGTTCAAGTCCAAACCATGGATATTGACTAGCTGCTGCTTTCATAGCTTCTTCACATCCAAATCGTTTATTTGAGCCTGTAGAAAAGAGATGATTAATTGTAAATACAAAATAAATACTACTAACTAGTTGGTTCTTTATTATATTTATATGTTTCACACATAACAAGTTTATTTCGACCAAGCATAAATGGATCATTAAAAATAGCAACTGGTTTAAGATAAATATCTGAATTTGAACCTTCAGCTTGACCTGTTGATGAACCATCGAAGTTCCACCATGATAGTTCTTTTGGTGATTTTGGTTCTCGTTGGACTGTTCGAGTTTTCGCTAATTAAAAATAAAAAAAAAGTAATAAGACATGAAAGAGAATATATTAGTAAATGGTTTTTTTTTTTACCACGAAGATTTTCTCCAGTACCATCAATCCATATATAAGTAGCCATAACTTTATTTTCAGGTTGTGGTAACTCCAAATACCGACGAAGAATAGCCTTATCTGTAGAAGCACCATTAGTTGATTTCATGTTCATCGTTATAATAATCTTCAAATAAAGATAAAAAGAAAAAGTATGCATCTGAGTTTTCTAATCTATTCTATGAAAAAAAATAGAAGCTATAATAATCTTATATTTCGACATGTTGAAATCTTTCTTTCTTTTTTTGTTATCTCTTGGTTTCCTTCCTATTGCATTCAATAAAGTCAATGCTATTCTATATTTGTTTCCCTTATTTTTACTCACATACACTTTTTTCCTTTTTCTCGTTTTTTGTTCATGTAGGATTTCTTCGATTGTAAACGAGAAATAAAGAACCAATCTCATTTCTATTTTGAAATAATGAAGTAAGAAGATCTCATTTTGTGCTTCTTGTATTTTTATAATATATCATGCACTTTTCTCAAGAAAAATTAAAAAAAAAACAAGATACATAACAATATTGAGAAACTAATTATCTCGAAGGAAAAAAAACTATGTTCTACATCAGAAACATAATTAATAATATTCTCCTGTATATAGCATATATGTTTTTAAATGACTAGTTTTAAAAAATAAGCAATAAATAATACTGAATATATCCATATAACTTAGTACTAAGACTATCATCACCACGAGTTGTTTCAGCAGAACAAAAAAGAAACAAAGATTGATGACAATTTCTGCTTAATAAAACAGGAATTTCTCACTACATTTTATTATATATGAAGAGAACGCACACCCTCGTAAACAATTATAATGGATAGGAGGCAAATTTATCCATGAAAGCTCTTTACTGTCAAAGTGCATGTTTTGCAAAAACAATATGTTAAGAAAACTTCCTTCTTGCGGCAAAAATATAAATATTTATGTAAATTGTTAGAAAAAAAAATCTGAAATAAAATAATAGAAATTTGTTTTAGTTAATATTAAACTAAAATTACATTTATTACCATAATCATGTTTATCAATGCATACAATATGAACAAAGATACCCGTTAGAGAATAAGTGTCATATTTGGAAGTGAATCAATGATTTTATAAATATCTGCATTGCATTGCATTGATTAATCTAAAATACTAAAAGACATGTTCCATTTATTTATAATTACATGAGTCATTTCATGTCGTTGACAATGCTTGTCATATCGTCCAATATATATGTTAATAAGATGATTCTTTTGTTTCAAAAATAGCTTTGCGAATATTTTAAATCGTTCTAAATTTTGGATACAAAATTAATATAAACAAAAAATATTGCAACATGCAAAAGTAATCAACATCTATCTTGCAAATCTTCTTAAGGAATTACTTGATACATTGACTAACAAATAGATTCTGTATTTATTTAAACAAAAGTTTTGCTTTTGGTGATCCAGATGGTCATCAACATCCATATGTTGTTTAGATATGATTTTTTTTTATCAATTCTTCTTTTATTTCAGTTCGTCTGATTGATGTGACGTTTTGATCTTAATAAATAAAACTATGAAAATTTACAAACATTTTCAAAGTTATGATACAGATTGAAAACATATACGATTATACATAGATAAATACAAACCCAAAAAAAAGTTCATGTACGTATTCAAACTCCATCTTCGATCAGGAACTAGTATATGTAGCTATCATTAAATACATTGCAATAGAAAAACGTTATATTCAGTTTGATAGATTAGTTTCTATAGAAAGACTCTATCTCGAACAATCCGTATTTAATTAAATGAAAGAATAGTCAGATATTGTCAGGCTATATTATAATCGGAATCGGCTATAAATATTCTCCTA